TGTGGTTTATTCACAATAAACATTTTTCTGTTTAAAAAAAAAATTAAAAATAAAATCAGCACAAGGGACATAACTTACAGTCAGTACCATGTGTCCCTTGATTCTTGTTGATTTTTGTTGTTTTAGGAGGAATCTTCATCTACCCCTTTTTTACCTTTCCTCCCCCCCCCCCACACACACACACACACCCCCACACCACTCTCATCTACAGTGTGTGTGTGTGTGTGTGTGGGGGGTGGTTAATACAGCTAAACGGTTGTCAGGAGTTCTTATCAAGAATGCTGACAATGCCTGTCTTTTCCTGCCAGATCCAGGGGTGTAGAAAAGATGAAGATTTTTCCTAAAACAAGAAGAATCAGTGCAAGGGATACATCATACTATCATGTGCTGATTTTTCTGTTTGTATTCAAACTTAGGCTTTAAATATATTTAGAATGGGATAAATCAAGAAGAATCCAAATTATGGTAATATGTAAGAGTTATTTTTTGTAAACAAGTAACTTTGTATATAGCAACATCCACCCTTTTCTGCTTTGCACTTTCTTAATTGAAAGCCATTTTTCAATTGTTTTTCATTTTGAAGACATATTAATTGGATACAGTCAGCTGCTTAGGTAGACACAGTACACAGCCATTTAGAATCTGAAATCACTAGTACCTTGCATTGTCTAGTAAAAGTATTGTTAGGTGCAGAAATTAATATATCTATCTCCATGAGGATCTGATTTCTGAATGTGTGGGTGGTAAGTGTAAAAGCTGTCAATTACACTTAACCTACGCGGCTGCAATCCGGAGATCTACTGTTCATATTGGTTTCTCTATGTCTATATTCTAGAGTGCTTCTGGTCTCTGTGTACCACTCTGCAATATGTACAGTGGGTATAGAAAAGCCATCCCCCTTTAAAACAATCACATTTTGTTGCTTTGCAACCTGAAATGAAGACGGACACAGTTTTTGTTTTATCCAGCTGTATTTACTCAGTGCAGCTGTATAAATACAGCTGGAAAAGGGATAACCCCCTTGTGTCAGTATTTTGTTGAACCACCTTTTGCTATAATTACAGCCTTTAATCTGTTGGGATATGTCTCTACTGATGTTGTACCTCTAGACTTTGCAATATTTGCCTCTTTCTTTACAGAACTTCTCAAGTTCAGTTAAATTTGATGGTGACCCTTTGTGGACTTCAGTCTTCAAGCCATTCCACAGATTTTCAATGGGGTTTAAGTCTGGACTTTGACTAGGCCATGCAAGGACATTCACCTTTTTCTCCTTCAACTACTGTGTGGTCATTGTTGCTGTGTGCTTTGGGTCATTGTCATGTTGGAAGGTAAACCTTCTTCCCATTGACAACTTTCTAGTAGAGGGCAGCAGGTTTTCCCAAGGATATGACGGTATTTTGCCCTATCCATTTTCCTTCTATTCTGACAAGTGCTTCATTTCTTTTTTCCCGAGAAACACCCCAATAACAAGATATTACCACCCCCATGCTTTACTGTAGGAATGGTGTTATTTGGATGGTGAGCTGTACTGGATTTCCACCAGACATATCATTTAGTGTTGAGGCCAAATGATTCACTTTTAGTCTCATATGACCAGAACACCTTTTTCCATGTGGCCTCAGAATCTTCAAGGTGTGTTTTGGAAAAGCTCAGTCATGACTGCATGTGGCCTTTCTTGAAGAGTGGCTTTCTTTTCTTGCAACTCTCCTATACAAGCTACACATTTGTGGAGAATTTGTGATATTGTTGTCACATGTACACAAAGACCACTCTTTGTCATAAATTCCTGCAACTGCTTCAGAGTTGATGTAGGCCTCTTGGTAGCCTCTCTGACTAGTTTCCTCCTGGTTTAGAGCAATGTCCTGATCCAAGGGGTTCTGTGTTGTACCAAATACCTTCCACTTCTTAACCACTTGCCCTCCTGAGGATTTACCCCCCTTAATGACCAGGCCTCTTTTTGCTACTCGGCGCTGCAGTAATTCAACTGATAATTGCGCAGTCATGCAATGCTGCACCCAAACAAAATTTACGTCCTTTTTTTCACATAAATAGAGCTTTCTTTCAGTGGTATTTGATCACCTGTGCGCTTTTTATTTTTCACGCTATAAACAAAAAAAGACCAAAAATTTTGAAGAAAAAATGATATTTTTTACTTTCAGCTATAAAAAATATATAGAAAACTCAAAGTTAGTTATAAATTTAGGCCAAAATGTATTCTACTACGTTTTTTTGTAAAAAAATCCCAATAAGTTTATATTGATTGCTTTGTGTGAAAGTTATAGCGTCTACAAACTATGGTATAGATACTGCAGTTTACGCCATTTTTTTGCTATACAGCGCTGCGCTAGTTTAATGGACAATTGTGCGGTCATGCAATACGGTACATAAATGAAATTTATGTCCTTTTTTTCACACAAATAGAGCTTTCTTTTGGTGGTATTTTGTTCGCCTGTGCGTTTTTTTATTTTTTGCACTATACAAAAAAAAAAAAAGGCTGACAATTTTGAGGAAAAAAAACAATATTTTGGACTTTTTGCTATAAAACATGTCAAGTAAAAAAATGTAAAAATCAAATTTCGTCATACATTTTGGCCAAAATGCATTCTGCGACATGTCTTTGCTAAAAAAAAAAAAAACCCAATACGTGTAAATTAATTGGTTTACGTGAAAGTTATAGCGTTTACAAATGGCGGTAAAGATACTGGGATTTTTAATTTTTTTTTATACTAATAATGGCGGCGATCAGTGACTTATGGCAGCGATCAGCGACTTATGGCGGGACTGCGGCGGACATTCTGACACTGGGGGGGGAACTGACTTGGGGTCACTGACATCCCCAGTGACACCAATACATTGATCAGTGCAAAAAAAAAAACACTGACACTGTACTAATGGCACTGGGGAGGAAGGGGTTACATTTTTTATTTACTGAAAGGGTTAATTGTGTGAGGGGAGTGTTTTACTAGGGGGCGGGGGTGTGTACTGTGTGGGGGACGCGCTGATCGGGAGAGATAAACTCTTCTCTCCGGCTCAGCATGTCAGGAGCTGACAGGGAACTGACAGAAAGCAGAGCTACTGCAGCCCTGCTCTCTGTCAGTGATTGCCGCTGATCGGCGGGACACAGCCGGTAATGACCGGCTGTGACCCGGCGACTGACATCCGCGGCCGTGATCGGCGGGCCTCGTGCGCGCCCCCTACCTGTATTGCAAACACACGTTTTAAAACGTGGTTTTGCCCAGCCGTGCCGCCCTGCCAACGTATTTCTGCAGTGGCTGGGCGGCATGTGGTTAATAATAGACTTCACTGTGCTTCTAGACATTGATAAAGCCTTTGAATTTTTTTGTATCCATCTCTTGGAGATCAGTGCCTTGCCACCTATAGTTGATTGATACCAATGACCAAAATGTTCCAGGAAAGCTTTTCATGCTTAGCTAATCAAAATGACCACAGTTGATTATAGTTGAAAGTCAAATGGCTTTGTGTGCCATTGAGAAGGTGATTAGCTACACCTGATTGAGTCATTTGAAAGTAATTTTTAGGAGGGGGTGATACTTTTTCCAACTCAGTGATTCAGTTTTTGAAAGTTTTTTTAAATTTTTTTCTGACATGTTGGTGTTATATCTTTCACTTGGACCAAGTTACCTTGGTTGCACCAAGTAAATGCAGCTGAATAAAACAAAAACTGTGTCTGTCTTCATTTCAGGCTGCCAAGCAACAAAATGTACTATTTTAAAGGCGGTGATTCTTTCCTACACCCACTGTAGGATGTTAGGAAATTCCCATATACACCTATGTAATAGGCTACTACAGTATGCAAAGCAACACTCAGAAATAAAAAATGTGGACCACTGACCTGCTATCCCGCCATATCCATGGCTACTTGGTGAGTTGCTGATCTGGAAGAAATATTGATATATCAGGTAGCAGTATGCCTGATGTGCACATGCTTGTTCTGGGTAAGTACCTTACTAGTGGATCAAGGGTTAGGCAGACCATACATTAATCATTTTTTTTTTCAACCAGTAGAGGGTTGAACAAAAAAAACATGACCCACTGTGCTATTGTGCTATTGTGTTCTGCCAGTGTGAGCCTTCCCCCCCCGGCAGAACACATTGTTCAGTGTTGTCGGCTATAGCCAGTGACACCGGTCATTTGGGGAAAAAAGTCAGTTGGTAGATCGACTTCTGTACAACCAGCCTGCAAGATTAAGTCAGCAATAGCACTGCATATTTCAGTACTGTATGATTGTTTTTACTATTCTACCATTTTACAAAGTGTGGACTTCAGTAGAAAAAAAATCAGTCCTTTACAGAAATCGCCTCATCATTTTCTCACTGCAGATCTCTTTCCCAGAATACCAGTTGTCTAAATGTCTCTGGCTTAAAAGAAAATGTGACTGCTTTTCACTCAATTCTTGGTCTTTACTGAGCAGAGAGCAGTGACTGTCAGTATCTGCTCACTGCTCTGCCGCTTCAGCGCTCACTGGAGCACTGGGCTGTGGAGGGGGAGGAGCTGGCTTGCCCAGGCTTTCAGTGGTGTGCTGAGAGGTTGATCCAGCTGTCGCTCAGGCATCTGGATGTATCCTGATACAGTCTGGACTGGCTGAGTGATGTTAGCTGACAGCGGGGTAAAGTCTGCTGCTAGCTGACTCTGGGTCACAGGAATGCAGAACTGAGTGCACTCAGTGACCCACAACAGAAGTAGGGCCACAAGAGCTTTGGCCCTACTTCTCCTTTAAAGCATAAGTCCACCTTTAATATGTAAAAAAGAAAAAACCTCAGCGCCCAGGACTCTCTTATTACACACACAATTCCCCGTGAGATGCTGCTGTACACAGGTACAAAAACCAAAAAAACTTATATCACTAAATACCAGCGCAAACCCACATAATAAATTGCATCACCCAACCTATTAAATTAATACTTATTAACAAACTTAAAAAAAAATGACACAAAACCACTTTTGTGCTAATGAAATAATAAAAAATATATATAAATAAATAAATAAATAAATAAATAAATAATTTTTAAATTAATAAGTCCAGTGACAAAAAAATCCCAAAGTAACAGTCCCGTGACAAAATTAATTAAATTGTAATTATATTGTAATTTTCATTGGATTCTTCCGTGCTTTTGATACCATCCACCAGTAAATAAATAAACATAAACTCACCAGATAATAGTGAGTCACACGCCTTTCAGGGATATTAAGGGCTCCTGGACCCCCTTTACTTTATATAAAACCTCCAAATAATGCCTAATATGGATACCTCTTCTGTGTTACTCCTCATCAAAAGAATCCCCCAAGAAAATCAGGAAGAAGAAAAAACCATAGTGTAATACCGTAGTGGTTTCTCATCAAAGAATCTCTCCAGACCACTCTGGTGAGTGGAACGCACGCCGAGCGGTGCGTTCCAAGGGGCCATCTTTGCATAGTGGATGAGTCTGCATCTGAGGTCTGCCATCCTGCTGTATACTAAGCTGTGGGGTCTTTATGCAAAAGTCGCTGTACATGGAAAATGGATCGTTTTTAAGAAAAGATCGTTGTTGTTTCAATAAAATGCGGGTTATACCCTGCTAAAATGTGAGTGGTCTGGAGAGATTCTTTTGATGAGAAACCACTACGGTATTACACTATGGTTTTTTCTTCTTCCTGATTTTCCTTGGGGGATTCGGTGAGAGGAGTAACCAGAAGAGGTATCCATATCCGAGAGGAGGCATTATTTGGAGGTCTTATATAAAGTAAAGGGGGTCCAGGAGCCCTTAATATCCCTGAAAGGCGTGTGACTCACTATTATCTGGTGAGTGCGGTTAATGTTGGTTTTTGCACTGGTGGATGGTGAAGGGATCAAAGGCACGGAAGAATCCAATGAAAATTACAATATAATTACAATTTAATTAATTTTGTCACGGGACTGTTACTTTGGGATTTTTTTGTCACTGGACTTATTAATTTAAAAATTATTTATTTATATATATTTTTTATTATTTCATTAGCACAAAAGTGGTTTTGTGTCACAGTTTTTTTAAGTTTGTTATTTATTAAGTATTAATTTAATAGGTTGGGTGATGCAATTTATTATGTGGGTTTGCGCTGGTATTTAGTGATATAAGTCCACCTTTGTGTAAAAAAAAGTAAACTAATTAGCATTTATTATTTTTTCCCCCAGGAACCTGCAGAACATTGTACCCATGATCAGTGGATCGCAGGTGCAATGTTAGGCTCCTGCAGACATTTTGTACAGCTCTCTGCCCTTAACTCGGTATGGGCAGACAGTTGCTGAGCTTCAGATACTGTCAATAGACTACGAAGGCACTGATCAGCACTCCATTGAGAATTACAAGTCCATTTGCTGTGATGAAATGTGAATGAATAATACAGCTGTGTTGGCAGAGTCTAGAAAGAAAATCCACTCGCTCCAAATTTTATCAGATTCAGCAGGGTACCCTCTGGCCTCATGGGCAAGTCTATAGAGAGGCAAAATTATATTCACCAGTCATTTCCAGGCATTAATGTCTAGAGCAGTGGTCTCCAAACTGTGGCCATTTGCTTGTTTTTATCTGCACTAACAGTGGAGTATTATTCCTCCCACAGACAACACCAGTGATATTGCACTATTTCTCCCACTGACGCCAATGACGGGCACTATTACTCCTATTGACTCCAACAATGGGGCATTCGCCTACTCAAATGAACAGTGGGGCACAATTCTTTCTTTCAGCACTAACAATGGGTTTTTATTACTCCCTCTAACACCAGTGATGGGGTATAACGTCTTCCTCTGACATCAATGATGGGGTACTATTCCCCCCATTGACACCAATGATGAAGCACTATTCCTTTCACTAACACCAACAATTGAGCATAATTCCCCCTGCTGACACAAAAAATGGGGCATTATTCATTCAATGTGGACACTATTCTTTCCGCCAGTACACATGATGGGGCACTATTCCTCCCACTGACACCTATGACGGGCACAATTCCTCCCATGAATACCAATGATGAGGCACTAATCCTCCTCCTACTGACAACAGGGGCACTTTTTTTACAGGGGTAAATTTTTTATTCTCACTGATCACAAAGCTTGAGGCATTATCTGCTCCCACTGGCCCCAGTCCGACCCCCTTAAAGTTTGAGGGACAGTAAACTGCCTTTGTTTAGAACGTTTGGAGACCCCTGGTCTAGAGTATTAATAGATGTCCAAATTAGAACTATTGTTTTCCTTGCATAGAAGGTGAGTAATATTAGAAATGTCTTCTTGTGGGTCCCAAGGTCTGTGTCACCAAACACTCTTAGAAGACACTTCATTGGACTGCATTTGTTGGGAATTGTAAAATTATGTTAAATTAACTCACCATCCACAGCAGAACATTTGTGAAAAAAAGGTATCCCGTTTACCCGGGAATAAAAAATTAATTCTATGAAAGTATCGTAGTTTAATAAGTTTGAATGTTGCAGAAATTGCAGTATCAAAGTAGGAACCAGAAGGTTCACCCTTATCCTGCTCAGTCATATCTGGAATATCCCTATTCCACTGGTCTCCCAATTTGTTGCAGTCCAAAGGGATACTACAAGCCCACATTAGCTCAATGGGTCCACTGGGAGCAATCCTAAAATGAGACAGTTATGGATTACACCAGACAGCAATATTAGTAGAAACAGTGTGGGTAATCTGTGAGACATTGTTTAATTTATTTTAGTAATATAGACAAGAAAGTGTTTTTTTATGTAGTGAGGAAGCATTTCAGATGGTAGAGATTGGGGGGGGGGGGGTATTCATAAGACTTGACTACTGTTGCCCCTGTGGCCGTGGCTGCATTATTCAATTGTGGCAATAACCACTGATGGACATACATCAGTTATGGGGCATATAAGTTGGGAGCAAGGAGGAACTGCGATGTACAGAGTATGAATCAAGCAGGTTTAGAAAACCAAAGAAATCAGTGGCAATCGGAGTGTTCAATTCTCAAAAATATGTTATGATGTGTAGATCAGGCTATTGGGAAAACATGTTTAAAATTTTTGGGAGAAATACCATTTTGAATAACTAAATTCTGGCCTACAATGTAAGAGAAGTCTTGCCCAACTGGATTTTTTTGCTTTTTAATTCTAAAAAGAAATAGTTATTTTATTGTCAATGTGTATCGACATGGGCAGTTGGATCTCTACCATCAAATATTAAAACGTATTGTAAAATCCAGAAGACAAACATCTGATTCAGGACCTATCAGGTACTTTTAAGGAACCATGTCATATGATGGAGATGCCCTCATCTTTTGTATGTGACTTTTAGCAGGCATTCTTTTACAAAACAATCTATGATGGAGAATAGGCATTATCTATCCTTAAGCTTTATCTTCTGTCCAGATTGTAAGGCAGTCTGTCATTATAAAGTTAAAGATAAATTTTGGTAACTATGTACTGCATATTGTACTTTACAGAGTGGGTCACATTAGAGTGCCTGAGCACCAAAATCGCTGGAATTGTTATGATCTGGCCCTTTTTTTTTTTTTACTGAGGATTAGAGTATACTAACTAGAATACCTGAATTTTGTACCTAGGAAAATGGTCCTTTAGTTTGAAGGAAATTTTACCCTTTCTGTAGTGGTCATCTCTGTGTAAAAGCTCTGAGAGATAACTAACATTCAGCTTGCAGTGTCTTTAGAATGCAATGGATTATCAATATGCTTATCTGTCAAAGTGCCCCATGAAAGAAACAAACAGCGTAATGATAGACAAAGCAAAAAGCTCCCATTTGTCATCACCTATCATCACCTGGACAAGTTCTGTACATCATTTTGATCTGTAATTAGTAAAGTAGACATCCAGGCACATACCAGTATTTAAAAATCACAATTAACAGGCGTGGCATCCTATCTTCGGTTCCTCCGCCTAATACATACTTGAGTCTACATTTTTGCTAGCTTCCATAGGAGCAATTTTGAAAGGTCTTGTTATTGTCTTGTCTTGTCTTGTATATTAAACCCTGTTGGAAAATAAGTACATAAGCAAAGCCTAGTCCAAGAGGTTCTATGACTTTAATATTCCTGTGATGTCGGAGAAGGTACATAGGACCACTGGACCGATAGACCATTGTTTATGTTGCCCTTCACAACTTGACATATTGACTTAACCCTCACACAGAGCTATGAGCGTAGAGTAACTTCTTTTGTACCTCATTGTCCATGATGTATGTTTTACCTCTTCACCATGTTTGTATACAGAAACGCTGTAATGTCTTGCTAAAGCACACATAGAAAATTTTAATTAAAAAAACAAAATCACCATTAATAGGTAATAATTGAATAACCAGTTCAGTCCCAGATCTTTTCCCATCTCATGTGGAAAGTGTAATATTTTCTTTTTTTTAGCTTTTGAAATCCCTGCAATGTTTTTTGCTCAGGTCAGATAGCACTGTTGATTTGCAGATTTATATACAGTACATGCATATTCGCATAAAAAAACGTGCAGCGCTAATCAGTAAATTAAGGTGCAAAATTATCCCAAATGACTAAAAGGCAATGAAGCAGTCATAAAATGATTCTAAAATAATGTAAACAAATGTTCCGTATTGCAACCAAAAACTTATTGATAGTCTATATATAGTGTTCCCCTTTAAAATCCGCAGTGATGTTCCATGCAATGTAGAGAGATTGTGCACTCACCAGATGCACAATGTAAATGTGCATTAAGGAAAATCCACAGAAGCATCCTTTAAGGGTCTGGTCTGGGATGGGGGAAGATATCCTCCTTCTAGGTGGTTGGTCTGGTCAGGAACACACAGAGATGGTCCTCTCTCTGAGTGGATTAAGTTTGACCCACTCAGAGGGAGGACCATATCCGTGTGTTCCTGACCAGACCAAACCACCTAGAGGGATGATATCTTCCCCCATCCCAGACCAGACCCTTAAAAGAGGCTTCTGTGGATTTTCCTTAATGCACATTTACATTGTTCATCTGGTGAGTGCACAATCTCTCTACATTGCATGGAACATCACAAGGCTTTATTTGGTTTCCTTGAGTGTCTAGCTGCTTACCCATAAGAGCGCTCACTTCTATTGCTTCAGTATATGCATATTGTTTTATAGAGTTTAATTAGAAACAATGAGAAAAAATAATGAAAGATGCTTGTATCTACAACAACTGAGGTAGGGAATTAATGTGGGCATGTAATTGTGACCCTGAAATTATGATTTTTGGAGTTTTACTTTATTATTAGGGTTTATTAAGTCAAAGTTACTATTTTGCATTGGTTATTCACAGGCAAAATTACTTTACAGCATTTTTTCTTATTTACAAAGTTGCCCTGGCCTTATTTTATTTTGTAGATTACTTCACAGGTATATAAAGACTTTCTGCAATTTGTTTTTGCCAAATATATTGTATATTGCACATCCAAATCAGACATAATCTATTGTTTTCAATGGAAAGGAGCTGGAAAGACCTTTCCTCAATATAGCACAATTGTTTTTTTTTTCTGATATAGCTGCTTTATTCTTTTTTTGCTGTTTTTCATCAGTTCAGCTACTTTTTACTGTTTTTTCAATTCGCTTTGGTTCAACTTTACGACCTTCCCTATCAAACTTTTACAACTTGGAGAAAAACTTAATGGTGAAATAAGGTGACATGCCATGAAACTGGATGCAATTCTTTTACTGGTCTTTGTAAGCAGGCTCCTTATTCCA